ATCAAGGGCTCACGATGAGCGAGTTGATGTAAGTACGATTCGCCGAGAAGTTTGCTAGCTTTCTCTCCTTGGCAACACACGCTGTTTTCCACCGTTGAAATTGGTAATGTTTTCGTAAGAAATACTAATGTCCGATGAGAATTCACTGAAGTTAAACGATTTGCAATGTACAAATTTATAAATACTCCTGGTCGAATATCTTAATTTTTCCGATTGATAAGCGTTCTAAAAATCATAATTATAGCTTTCGGAATTCATAGTATGTTGATCATAGCGAACTAATAATAGACACTCCTGGCGGTCGCGTTAGTTATATTTATATCGTGGGAACGTTTTCTAGAAACTCCAGTCTTACGTAACAGTACTGGTTAAAGCGTTTACATACACACATATATTGTTGATTCTTACTCTCGAGAATCTTCTAAAACTTTGGAGAATAGGCGGGAGTTGCGCAATATATATTTAACACTACAAGTTATGCATGTTTTTAAATATAAACTCAATCTAAACAACGTTCATATTAAAATAAATATATAACAACAAATTCTTTACAATTTGACATTTGAAAGTTAATTTTATTAATTTCTTAATTTCTTTGTATTTTTCTAATTTTTAATCTAATCTAATCTAATTTAATCTAATCTTAATTTTTATAGTTATATAGGACTTGTCTGCTTTATAATTTTGTAGATATTTTTGTGTACTTTTTTGTTTTTGTTTATTATACATTTATTTAACAGCATGTGATCAATAGCTAACAGCCCATATCAACGCTTGATAAGATACAATTAGTTATAGTATGGAAAACATAAAACCACTAAATTTAGTGTGTTAAACCAGTTTAGTGCAAAGAGAACCTAACAATTAAAATGAAATTTGCTTATTTCAAGTTTATGGATTCGAACTGCAATAGTTGAGAGATCATGGTAATAACAAGTACCGAGTAATGGACGATATGTTGTGGTGTGAATCATATTTATAACTAGTAGCTGTTAACACTTGTATTTGTTTTTGAACACAAAGCTACAAAAGAGCTAGCTGTGTTTCGTATATCGAAACCAGATTTTTAGCGTTATAAGCCCTCAGGTTTATAGTTTAGATACCAAGGGGCAACTGTTAACAAATAATGTAGAGTACAATAACTTGCAATCGTGTGAATATCACACCCAGTTTTTCCCGCTGTGTAAAAGATCTAGTGATTTGGTAATTGTAACTTCCTTTTGCCTTCATACAAGTAGTTTTACCAATCGAATTTCATTAACACATCCTTGTTTTCTCGAAATATATATATCATGTGCAAAAATACAATGAAATTAACTTTCTCTAGCAATAGAGCTGGTAAACTTTATTTGATTTTTAGACCAAAGCCATATTAAGTTATTTGCAGTGTCTACCGTGTGAAATCGAATCTCAGTCCGTTCAAGTCCGTAAACTTACAGTAATCATAATGTAGTTTTAAAATACTTTGATCTTGTTTTTAGATCTCTTTAACAGCTAACAAGAATATAACGTTCTGGAATCACATGACACTTGTGTCTTCCTGAGCTCAATGAGTCTCTTGACACAAAGTTTTCACATATTTGAGTTACTTATCCACTTTGGGCTTGTGATAATTTTGATGTATTATATTCAGATTTTTTCCCTCTCGATAAGACATTTATCTACATCAAACAGAAACATTCAGGTACTATATTTCACGACCTAGAGACAAAATATATTTTATCAAGGTACATTTAAACTTGATTAGACATTTTGCAAAAGAGAGAATTAACAAATACGAAATTTTGCGTGCTGTAGTTGTTACTACAAGCCACTAACATATGACGGACACCACATTTTTTCTTTATAGTAGTCATAACTTTAAAACTTGTTCAATTTTAACTACTATCTCCATACGGATTTCGTTTTTGAAGAAGAAAATAATAAATATTCCCTCCGGTAGTAACATTTTTTTTAACTGTTTCGTACTTTTTAGCCATTAAATATCACACGGTTTGTTTGTTTGAAATTAAGCACAAAGCTACACCATGGGGTATCTGTGCTCTGCCCACCACGGGTATCGAAACCTGGTTTCTAGCGTTGTAAGTCCGTAGACATACCACTGTGCCTCTGGGGGCCATCACTATTGGTATACACACACACACATATATATGTATACCATACATGTTACATACAGTGTATGAATTAAATGTCCGTAAACCTTGAGCAGTAAATTTGACTAGTGACACCATTAATGTTTTAATTTGTTTCATTGAGGTGTGGCATGGTGAATAATGCATTTTCCCACACCACACACTACATGTCTTCACTGGGGATAACAGTTTGCGTAAAGAGATAGTGGTTTTATAGACAAAGATACCCTTCTCTCTCATTATTATTTAATTCTTCTTTCATAAATTTTCCTTGCATTATATCTTGCTTAGTAACTTACCATTAGCTTACCGGAGTTTTTATGCTTTGAAATTTGAATTATCTTTCTAAATAAATTTAACAGCAATTAAAATACAAAATTCGCTCATCAGATCATTATTAGATTATGAATGGTGAATAAAATACTAGTCCTTTCTCAAACTGCTAAACTAGTCAGAATAGTTACTTAAAGCATATCCGTGGAGAAGTACTCTGTATAAATGATTGGCTAGCTACTAGTTATCACTGGCGTAATATCTTTGTTCACAATATATTGCTATTTACAGTCTCAATTTTAACAGACGTTGTGTTCATGAAGTACATGATCTAAAATATCTAGTCTTTTATGACTAGTTTCGTAGCTAGAACTGTGATTTACCTAATAGATTTCAATTAAACATTTCCAATTTAGTTTATGTGCTTTCAAGGCAATTAAAAAATGAAGTGGTAGAATTTGGAGATTATACTGTACTTACTGTTTATCTGCATTGTGTTCAATGCTCTCCTGTTTGAAATTCCAATATATTATTATGTAGCAAGTAATGACATTTAAAAACAGAATCATATTATTAGACATAGTTGATGCAGAAGAGTTTCTTTTCAGGGTCTAAGAAATTTATTACGCATGTTTATATCTTAATGTCCCAGAATCACTTCAGAGGCTAGAATGTGAATAATCTATATCTTGAGTTATAAAAAAATAAACATGCTTACATGATTTCTTATCTGTAGTTATCTCACGTGTCTCCGAACTTCTTGATTAGTGCAGGCTTGTTCTTCTGTGGAACAACAACAATTCTTTTTGGGTAAGGCTACTAAGTTACTTTTTACCTGCTCAAAAACATTCAATAATAATTTTTTAGTCGCCACATATGTGATTAAACAGGTATTTTTCACATTTTATAAAATTATGATTGTATATTATTCAGATTCATTCACACACAATATACACTAATGATGTTTGAAGGGCATAAATAACATTGAATAATTTAGAAATTATGCAGTTCATTTCGCAAAAGTTTCTAGAAAATCGAATAACTTTTCATTTTTAAGAAAAAAATACTTAGCAAATACTAAGAAATGGGTAAGTATTTAAAAATTGACAATACTGCTGAATGTACGAGTTATTAGATTGTTCCATCATATTTGATAGCCATTACAAAGATAGCGTTCAATAATTGTAAGGTTGAAATGAACTACCAATCAACTTTAATTTCTAAACTGAAGTTTCATCGTTATCATTTCGCTGATTCTCTTTCAAAAAATAACTGTCGCTTAGGGATTCATAAGTAAGTCTTTTGAGAAATTATAACATTCATACCTTCTCGACTTACTTTACTCATCATATTTTCACAAAAGGGACCTACAGCAATATCGACCGCTAGTTATTTTTGAAAACAGTATTTTAACGATAGATGTAAATTTTCGTTTCAGTTAAATCTAGAATCAAAATAAATTTAATATGATATAAAAGTATCTAAATCCACCTTGTTTATTTGTTATGATGCTTATTATGTAGTTTTTATGGAAAACAATAATACCGCTTGATAGTTCAGTTATGTATACGTTCTGTTGAAAGTGGATATAAATGCACTATCGGTTTTTAGACAAAGAGGGAGATCTGTCTAATACATGGGCAAAATTTTTTCGGATATAGATAAAGACATTCTGATGGTTAATGGAAATGGCACTATGGACGTTGCGCATGGCTTATACACATTTTAAACTGGTATGTAAGCAAAGGATAGAAGGAACAATTATTATTCTGTAAGTAGTATTGCGTTCCCCTGATAGATAAGCGGAAATTCATAGCTAAAATCCAGGATTCTGTTCCTCCAGTAGTTAAAATATTATGTTAAAACAAACATACAAACAAACTGTAGAATCGAAAGGTACAGAACTGGATCATGTTGGTTGAGATGTACCATTAATATGGCTGCAATCTCAGAGGAGGTCCCACCACATTCTTACACGGATATTCGCCGGACCTTCGTCTCTATTTAATAATTCATGATCTTTTTAAACTTTATTATTTCAAAAGGTTCATGAATATTGTTAGCTATAATACCCATTTTTTTCAGAAAAAATTACTATTTTCCCCATAATATCTTGTGTTGTGTATTTTTTAAATGTTCAGCTGTAGCCAAAGTTTCAGGCCTTTCATTTTTTACACATCTCTTATGTTCTGCTAAACGATATTTCAAATTACGTTTTGTCTGTCCAATATAAACACTTCTACATTCACGTTCAATTTGATAAATTCCAGCTTTTTCCATGAATTGTATATCATCTTTAGCATGCCCTAATATTTGTTTTATCTAATTCATTTTAAATACAGAGTAAAATATTTTTTGTTTTTTAAACACTTTGAATAAACTAGAGAATTTCTTAATTGCTCTATCTACAATAGTTAGGTTAAATCTTCTTTCAACTTTCTTTTTTTAAGTCCGCTTGTTTTGTACATATCTTCAAAATTCTATCAACATCATTGTAAAATGCAGACATGTTATGTATTTCAGTATGACGTGATTTCTCGTGTTTTTGGCGTAAGAACAGAAAAAGGTTTCCGATAAATAGATGTTTCTAAATTCTCTTGTTCATTCCTTCTTACTAATACATCTAAAAAAAGGCAAACTATTATTTTTCTCACTTTTATAGGTAAATTTCATAGATGATTATGTTCTATTCTAATAATTTGCAAACTCTGTTAATGCCTTATTACCATATCTCCACACCAAGATTGTTTCATCTATATAACTTATCCAAATACCAGATTTACATGTTGCACCATTTGTGGCTTTTGTTTCAAATGCATCCATACGTAAGTCACATAACAATGGTAAAAGTGGGGAGCCAATTACCAACCCTTCATTTTGTTTATGACAAATATTACTAACCAAAAAATTGGATTATTTACACACACATTTTAGTTGGAACGTTCATAAGCATCAGTAGAAATGGTTGTAGAAGTGCTTGCACGTCACTGAAACCCTTGTTGCAAGATCCATTCATGGTGAGAACAGTGCCTAAGATATAGAACATTAGGCATATTTATCACGATTAACTGTATAAAACTATGCACATTACCCCATAAAAGTTCCCTAAAATAACCAGCATTTTTATCATTTAAAAGAGTGCAACTATAAATTTCAAAACAAGTTTGTACTGGAATTCATGGTATATATATATTGTATTGGATAAAAAGTGACTGGAAATATTTCCATTGAAATATGAGGCCACTTTCACTCCTCTTGTTTATGTGTCTTATTTATCAGTATTCACAGTACACACTAGAATAACTCTTACAAAGTCAAAGTGTGATTTAGTGTCGTAATATCCTGGACGAATTTTCTTTGAGAAACAAACACTCCAGGATTTGTTTTTGTGTACTTTGATTGGTAAACATTGTCATGAATTTTTGCACACGCATGTTGTACTGGATTTCTAACAGTGTAGGTGTACACAGAATGTCTCAATTGCGCAGAATTGTGGCGTATCTGCTATCCCAACCTGGTAATGTTATTACTCATATAGACTTTTGGTGGGGATTGAGTTCTCAAATACTAGTTCTATCCTGCCTGGCCACCTTAATATCATTACTTTACAACTGGGTTGTCAATCACTATAACTTAGTAACTAAGAGATGTCATTGCAACAGATGCTAAATATTGCAGTATCTAGTATTAATTTCAGAATACATACAGCATTAAAATGATGATGACAACAATAAATAATTGCTATAGTGACATCCTTATTGCCATTTATCTATGTATGTATGGAAAATATTTTGCCCATATATTACATGGTTGATACTACAGTTTGTGAATTATCTCTCAGTACCATTCGTTGTATTCTGCACAAAATAATATAATTGTTGTGCATATGTGACGTCTAGCTGTCATAAACAAGCACCTTTACTCTCATGATTTTCTATACTTTAACACTAATTTCTGTACTACGTTGCAAGTTCATTACGAACAGGATGTAATCTACTTTGAACTACAATAAACATGTTTTTAGAGTATAGTTCGCTCATTTATTGGGTTAAGCACATCTCTACTCTGTTTTTTACTAGTCTGCTTGTTGAATAGTTTGTTTACTAGGACTTATGTATTGTGTGGCATGTTGATTATTCGTGAAGGTAGTGCTGCCAGAAACTTTATTTTTTCTTTTCTGTTAACCTTTTTGTGATTTGCCAGACATAAATTCATATTTAAAAATCTTTCGTCTGAGTTAACTGAGGTAAACCATTTCTCGCCGTATTTTGAATTATTTGTCCGAATATATCATGTTATCATGTGTTACAATACGCCATCAAAAAGTAAAATATACAAAATTGGATTTTTGAGTTCATTTCCAAAATCAAACCTGACACAGAAGGTATTAAGAAGCCAAAAAGCAAAACTACAGAATGAAATAATTTTTTGACATAATCTTTGCCATCATAGACTTACATGTCACACATATCTAAAATTATCTGCTGTTTTTGTTTGTGGATCAGTTTTGTCTAATTCATTTTTACTTCTTGGTTGTGTCAGATTTATTTACACTAAACATTTCAAATCTTATCACATTTTTAAGTATACCTACGACAGACTAAGTTATCAAGAACAATGTTTGTGCTATTAAGAATATGTTTATTATGTAATAAAAAATCGTTTAGCTTTTTGTTTATGTGCTTCTCTGTACGCCTGTAAGTTCCAAAATTTGAGCTCAATTGATATTCAAAAGTTATTTCCACTGCGGTAATGAGGGACTTATGGTGAAGAGGAGGAGAAAGGTGTTGGAATGTAGCTCTAGCTGGAAAACCTAAAACCTGTAGGGCTCTCATCTTAGATCCAAAGAACCATATAAGGATTTTGATCTACCCACTGAACCAGGGAGATGAGCTGTATCTGGGATCTGCTAAATTGTGTGACCTTTAGATAAGAAAATATGGTAATACGTCTTTCAATGTTTCCATTGCCATGCATAGACAAATATGTAAATGCACTGGTTTAACATATTAAATTTTTTGTTTATTTATTGTTAGGTGAAGCTGGATAATGAAAGCTGGAGATGGCTTGTATGAATTTAGTGACATGCCATTTGACATGAAATCCATACCAGCCATTTAATGTGTCTGATACTTTCAAGTAAACAATGGAGGTAACTTTAAGAGAGTTGCACTATTTCAGTAGTGTTAAGTGGATGACATTATGGTGCCTGGTCACGCATTTTAGGCGCTACTGTTAGTGGTGTTTCAACAGAAAAAGAAATTGGATTAAAACCACTGGTATTTATTGTTAGGTGTTACGAGAGTGGAATTTCTTGGTCTTATAATATATAGGGATAAGAAGTTTTTTGATCGTATAAAGATTGCGGTGTTTAAGAACTGACTGCAGTCTATAACCAAAACACGAGAAGTGTGCAAATTTGCAGACTTAAGCTTTACATGTTATAATTGAGACTTAAGTTGGTTTTTTACTAGTTAAGATTACCCATCCGTTATTAATATAGGTGGAAATTATTGTTGAATCACAACACTGTTTTCACAGGTGTAAGAATTTGTGGAGGTTATCACATATGGAACAAGTGTACTACAAAGAAGGAGCTGTTTACAATTTTAGGTCTTTTTAGACATCTAACATTGTAATGAACATACATATCTTACCAATTAATGAGGTAACCTATCAGCGTTTTCATGCTGCTAGCCCAGCTGATGTAGTAAAATGAAGCTGTACTCTTGCAAAATTTTAATGCAATTATATTACCTAGTCTTTGAAGTTCATCAATCATATCATGCACGTATTCCATTGAAATATAG